GTACAGTTAACACCAAATGTAACTGTTTTTAGTTTGAAGTCGCGTAAAGGACTGGTGGGGGATCTACGGAACATAATACGTTGAAAATCTTGGTCGTCTTTTATGTACGACTATTTGCCGAAAAATTTTTCAACGTCCCCATTGAATACGTATTTGAATATACGTCGGTTTAATATCAAAAGCATTAAATCTGGTTGGAGTGTGGGTCCCGTAAATTAGATATCATTTAGGGAATTCCCTGAACTGGTGGTTTTCGAGGCATTAAAAACAACTCTTACTTTTGTTGTTTTTTGTCTGGCTTTACTACTGCGTGATGCGGCAGATAGAAGGAGTAGTACTTGCCGTTAACGATTTTCCTCCCTGGGTTTACATATGATTTAAATGGAGGTATTCTTCTAACACACCATCATATTCAGATTTGAGTTCACCCTTTTTAAGTAGGTTTCTTTCCATACTTAAAAGCTGCTGTATTGCAGAGGTGCGAGAGTGACCTAGGACGAGTGTGTTAGGAAATTGTTGTTTAAGTGGTAGTCGTACGACGTAGCGACCATTTTCCGATCAAGTAGTTGTGGCTTTGTAAAAATCCTCACAATACTGATCTTCAGGGGTTGTGACTGATATGGGGGGGAGTTCTTCTAATTCCCAAAATTTTTTCAATTGTGAATTGAGGTACTCGTTTGAGACTTCCTCAACTTGAGTAGTCAATGTTGTAACTGATTCCGCAACTAGTACATTTAGGACCCATCCGAAAATGGTATTTTGCGCCAGAAGTGTATTTGTGATTTTCTCAATACCTTGGAGTATTATCTGTGGCATGAGATCGCTGCCTAATAGAAGACTGCGGTAAGACAATAGCTTCTGCTTGTATGCGCTTATATTCTTTGGGGGAAAAGAGGGTAATGGGGCAGATTTTATTTGAGTTTTGAACAACTCTTCCGCCCATTCCCGTGATTTCAAAGTTGGCCAGTTTTGTTGGCAACTGTAGCCTGTTTTGTGCCCTAGACGCTATAAATGGTCGTTGTGATCCTTGGTCTATTAAGGCTCTTAGTTTAAACAGTTCTACTCGGTGTTCCATGGAGACAATTGCTGTGGGTAATAGTATCCTACTGTCATTTTCGCTGTGTAGAGTTTGGGTTTTCAACGCCTGTGAGCAGCATGGTGCTTCTAGGCAGTTTTCAGAATTTGTTGTTGCAACTAAACCTGTTGCTCTTTTTATGTTTGCGCTGTTTGGGGGTGAGCTGGAAAAATTGGTTATATGTAATATTGAATGATGTCTTTTATGGCAGTAAACGCAATTAAATTTGCTTTCGCAATCTTTAAGCGTATGCGCATGTGACAAAACATTTTTAAAAAAGCTTCTATTTAAATTATTATGGCTACTTGCTTGGGGTCGATTGAAGCTTCTATTGAGGTCACTTTGTACGTTTCGTTACGATCTGACTATTTTTTTATCTACCCTTTCTGCAATTTCATATTGGGTAGTAAGAAATTCTTTCGTGTGCTGCCACATTGGGCACTTTCTTCACGATGAGAGCGATTGCTCCCACAAAAGTAACGATTTTTCTGGTAATACAGCTGTGCATATATTTACCAGAATGAGTTTGACCGTGGATTGAAGCTTTATGAATTCTTCACTGGTTTCTTTCTGAATTTTTGGTAAATTCATTAGTATCGTCACTTGCTTGTCGACCAATATTCTTTCGTTTTCGTCTTTTTCGATTTCTAATACCAATTCAGAATTGTCTTGAATCGGTGAAAATGAAAATCGAGTGCAGTATCGTATCAAACTGTCACTCTCAGCAATGAATTTTATATAAGAAATATCTTTTAGCTTTTTTTACTTTGTAGCACCGTGCTTTGAGCGTGTAGCTTCAGCAGGTGTACATGGGCTCTTTTCTTTTGAAATTATTTTCGGAACTTTTTGTGATTGTATTGCTTTGGATTCTTTTGAATCTGAGCTCATTTAGAAGACGTGTAGAATAAATTAAAACGTCTTAGTGAAACCTAGACATTTAGATGTTTAGAAAAAGTTTCGTATATAAAATGTTGAATAGAAAACTCTTTTGTATGTAAGAGTTTCAAAAAACCAATAAACCAATGGCTTTTTGATTATCCGAGTTTTCAAAAATATTTTCGTATATATATGTATTTATGTATATGATTAGACGAGAACTCTTGTATGTAAATAAGAGTTTCGAACGAAAGTTCAAGGCGCTTGTGTAGAGTTCACGCAAGTGAGGAAAGTTCTCTGATCACCATTCACTTGGGAGTGGCCAGAAATGATTCTTTTACATATGACTCAAGCAGCTCACGACTTCCGGTCTTTGACCAAGTATCCTCTGGGTAGCCTTAGGACATCCGTTTGAAGGCGAGCTAAAGTGAAAAGGCGAAATATCCCCTACATAGGGTTGTGCGCTGGGTTTTGGGACCCGCCACGTAAAAAAACACCCCCAATGAAAAATTTTCAATAGCCTCGGAAGAGAGACCCCCCTTTTGATGACGACCTTGGCAAACGAATTAAGGACTATGATTTGAGGGCATGCATCTGGAATGTCCGGTCGTTTAATTGGGAAAGTGCCGCAGCCCAACTGTTTGATGTCCTCGTGAAAATAAAGGCTGACATCACCGACGTCCAAGAAATGCGATGGACGGGACAGGGACAGAGACGAGTAGGTCCTTGTGGCATTTACTACAGTGGCCATATAAAGGAGCATTTCAGGTGACGATATGAATATTTCTGAACACAATTTTCATTAAATGCTTAGCTTTCTTCACTCATCATTGTTAAAATTTCTGCTTCTGAGTTAAAAGGGGTGAAATCCACTAATATCATTTTGTTAGCTCTTGAACTTTCTTTGAATTGAACCTTCTCTATATTATACGTTCTCTGTTTTTGGTCTAAGCGAAAGTGTAACATGTTTATAGCGCTGACAGACGAGCAAAATTAATGCGCATTGAAATTTTATGGTGACAGACGTCAGACTTGTGCATTTAGACAGCTAATGGTGAAATTTGTTTATTTATTAAAAAAAAAAGTGAAACAGAAATGAAGATAATAGATATTTTGATATAATTAAAGATAATAGAGTGAAATTTAATAATATTGGAAAAATGGATAGCATACAGTGCGTTGTTTATGTTCTGAAATCTAAAAATATTAAAATTTGTTTTTGTTAATATATTTGCACATAATTTCATTAGCAATATAAAAACTGCTAACCTCTGATGCTGTAAACGCAAAAGAGGCGCCAGACTTCAAGCGATATCTGTCAAAAAATAGGAAATATCAGAAATTTTTGAGCAGTGTTGCCTTCTCAAATTTGGTAAGTTCAGCTAAATGCTCGAAATTCTTGTGCATTGCAAATTTTCATTAAAATGGGTCAATTCCGCAAAGAAATGTAATTAAGCCCGCTAATGCATATTAGCGCTGTCGTCTGTCAGGGCTATTACACTTCTGTTCATTCACATTAACTTAAATGCTCCGCTAATATTCTTGATGCCAAAAAGTGGCAGTTGTTACTGTGGAACACCAGCCCTTATCTGTCTTTCATCCGATATGAAATCTCCTACTTTCACCATAAATTTGCTATTATTTAAATAAGACTCCAATGTTTTATACAATTCTAAAGTTAGAATTTTTTTAATTTTATATAAAAAACTTTCGTGCCACACCTTATCAAACGCCCGAGCTACATCTAAAAATATTACTGAACCCCCTGTGTTCAAATGTTTTTTTTATTTCGTTAGTAATTCTATTTACTTGCTCTATTGTACCATGTACGAGTATCGCACGAAATCCGAATTGATGCATTGGTATTATACTATTTTCGTGGAGGAAAGGAG